ATTTTCAAAGTTATTTACTGCAAGAGGGAGATTTGCATATATATTATATTATACATAATAATGAAATTCACCAGTTTCAAAGTTAAGGTACTGAAATTGTCAGGTTTGTGATGGGCCTGATTTTGTTTTTCTTGGGGTTATCGTCGGTTGTTTGTCGATTCTGCTGAAGAGGTTAGGATTTATGGTTGGTAGTGAGGAGGGCTTTATTCTAGTTTGTATATTAGGTGTGTGTGGTTTTTCTGTTTGTCTTCTTTTATTTTTGTTTTGTTTCGTTAAGTATTTAGTTTGCCTTGTGGAATTTTATCTCTTTTTTGGAGTTGGGTTTTGGTGTTGTTTTCGTCTCCTGGTGGAGGTTATACCCTTAGAGCATCTCTAATGATCAAATGTTGTTGTAATAAATTATATGTCACATCAACATATTAGTAATATCATAACTTTCTATGTACAATGTGATCACAAATATTGTGGTGATGTAGATATAATTAATGTCTACAATATAGAGAAGAATGTGGTTCAATCTCCGATTAAAAGAAGAGGCTTATAAGTTGCTGGCTCTCATGGGGATGCCTTTGAGAGAAGGCAGCGTTAGTGGGACCACACCTGTTGTGCGGAAGAAGAAGTTCAAGTCACATCACTTTGTTTCGAAATCCAAGTCGAAGCAGAATACCAGCAGGAAGATGTAGGCATTATCGGCTTATCTATGGGAGGATTTTCGAGGTTCGAGTTGTTGATTTGATTCTCTTTGATTGTTGTACCTTTTTGTGTTTAGTTTGGAATTGAAGTTTGTTGAAACTAATGGTGAGACTCTGTAATGGTGTTAACCGTGCATTTTTCGATTGTCGCTTGAATATTGAGCCATGTTCAATCGGTGGCTGTGACAAGTCTTTGAAAACTAGACTATTTTGCCTGCTTCTCAAGTTTTCGATAGCCGGGGGAAGAAAACAGTGAGTGCATAACACAATAGATTTTGATACACCATACATGGTCAAGCTTGAGGCAGTGCAGATGCTTTGAATATAAGTTGGTTTCATGTGTTGGATTGTTACATTATCATTTAAATCTATTTTCCTTGTGAGGATTTATGGACTGCAGGGTACTTAGTTATTTACTCATGTTAAGTAGTCCCTAGGGATCTACTTAGTTATTTGTGTCTATTTTGTAAGTTTGAAAAGATTGCTTTTATTCACTGTAGTAGATGAGCTATTCTCACATTTTCCTCTGGACAAACATATATATACATGTACACATATATCTTAATTAGTGACCTTTTTTTTTTTGTGGTCAGAT